TTACTAGCTGTTCTTCATCTCATCTCATATTCTCCCACCTTCATTGCATTCCTGCAGATGGTCTCACATGCCTGGTATACCCTCCCATTTTGTCTCTGTCTATTCAGATCCTTCCTTTCCTTCAAGACCCAGCTTAGCCACTACCTCATTCCCTGATCCCCTATTGTCTTCCCGATCCTTCCCTTCTCCAATGTTCCTAGATCACTTTGGATCACTTCTGTGCCCCCATCACACTGTACTTTCTCTCATATTGTATCTTTGCTGCTAGGTTGTGAGATCTTTGAGCACAAGTCTTTTTTACTTTTGTATCTTCGGTGCCTAGCGCAGTGTGTTGCACACAGTAGGCATTTTAGAAATATTTATTGGGTTCAATTCATTGGAAGTCTCCAATTTATCAAGGGGCTGTTCTCCAAAAGTCTTTTTCACCCTCATTTTACCCTCTCCAAATCTCCCTGTTTCCTCATACACCTTTCCCCATAGAAAGAGTATTATCAATTCAATTCAGCAATAACTACTTATTAAATGCTGAGGATACTTTGAGAGGCAGGACCCAGACTTTGCATTGAAGACATTAAAAATGTAATGGGAGAAACAAGAGGTACATAAATCATTATATATTAGATACACAGAATAGATACATGATAACTTTAGTGGGGAAGGCACTAGTGTCTGTAGGGACCAGGAAAGGCCTCCTGCAGAAGGTAGCATTTGAACTGAATCTTAATGCTAAGAGGTAGGTAGGAGAAGACATAGCGTTCTAGATGTGGGGGACAGCCAGAGCAAAGGCCCCTTACCACCCACTGCCTATTGGACGTTGCAAACCAGATACATCTCAGACTCAATACGTCCAAAACAAAACTCATTATCTTTCCTTCCAAACGTATCCCTCTTCCAACCATCCTTCCAATCTCCCAAATTTGTAACCTGGATATCATCACTGTCCTCATTCTCCTTGACCCCACTTACATTGCTGTTTCTACCGCCACAACATTTCTCCCAATTGACCCCTTCTCTTTACTCACACAAGTTCCACCTTGGTTCATGTGTCCATCACCTCCTGCCTAGAAAATTGCAACAGCCTCCTCTTTGGTCTCTCTGCCTTGTCTCTCCCCACTCTAGTCCAATCTACAAGCTGCTGCCAAAATAATTTTCCTTAAGCATAGATCTGAACATAATAATTTCCTTATTCAATCAACTCCAGAGATTTCTTATTGCCCTTAGTTTAAAGTATAAACTCTTCTTTTCAGCTTTTGAAACCTATAACAAATGGTCTCAACCTATCTTTTCGACCTCATTGGACTTTACTCCTCTTTCCACACCCTACAATCCAGCCAAACTGACCTTCTTTGTCCCTCATGCACGACCCTCCATCTCCTATTTGTACTGGCTGTGCTACTCGCCTGGAGTGTACTAGCTCCTTTCCTCTGTCTCATAGAGATCCTCTCTCTCTTTAAGATGTAACTCAAGCATCATCTTTTGTATGACACCTTTCCTGATGCCCTCCATCTGTTAGTGTTCCCCTGCAAAGTTTATATTTGTGCTATATACTTTTATATATACAACATACTATTATCTCCCCTATGAGAATGTAATCTCTTTGCAAGTTTCATGCAAGGAATTGTTTGATTTATGTAATTGTAGCATCTAGTAGCATACCCATTACATAAAAGGTGCTTGAATAAGCACTTGCTGATTGTTTGAAGTGGACCAGTAGTATGAAAAGGGCTGGAAAGGTAGTTGTAGCCAGATGATGGAGGGCTTTCATTAGGTGTACTAGGATAGGGGCAGCTAGATGGTGCAGTGAGTAGAGTACCAGCCTTGGAGTCAGGAGGACCTAAGTTCAAATCTGGTCTCAGACCAGAGACTTGACACTAGCTGTGTGACCCTGGGCAAATCACTTAAACCCAACTGCCTTGCAAAAAACAAGTGGGGAGTGCTAGGATCAGGAATTTACCTTTTATTTGGTAGGGGTGGTAATGGGGGAATTAAAGGTTTTTCAGTTGAGTGACATGATTATAGTGACGTATTAGCTTTGAAGATGTATGACAGATGAGTTTGATCAAGACATAGACTGGAGGGCGGAGAGACCACTTTGGAGATTATTGTGATAGTCTAGGGAAAAGGGAATGAGAGTCTGAACCGGGACAGTTGTGGTGAGAGTAGAAAGAAAGAGACGATTCCAAAATGAGTTCATGACTTAGATATAAAGACTGATATTATGAGCAAACTGGGAGAACAAGGAAGAGTTCACCGGTCAGATTTATGAGAACAGAAGAATTTATGACCAAACAGGAAATAGGGAACATTATGAAATGCAAAATGGGTAATTTTGATTATATTAAAATTGAAAAGTTTTTGCACAAACAAAGCCAATGCAACCAAGATTAGGAGAGAAGCAGAAAACTGGGGGAAAAATTTTTACAACCAGTATCTCTGATAAGGGCCTTATTTCTGAGTCAAATCTATAAGAATGTAAGTCATTCTCCAATTGATAAATAGTCAAAGGATATAAACAGGCAGTTTTCAGATGAAGAAATTAAAGCCATCTATAGTCACATGAAAAAATGCTCTAAATCAGTATTGATTAGAGAAATGCAAATCAAAATAACTCTGAGGTACCATGTCACACCTATCAGATTGGCCAAGATGACAAAACAGGAAAATGAGAAATGTTGGAGATGTGGGAAAATTGGAACACTAATGCATTATTTGTGGAGTTGTGAAATGATCCAACCATTTTGGAGAGCAATTGGAACTATGCCCAAAGGGCTATAAAAATGTGCATACCCTTTGATCCAGCGATACTACTTCTGGGCTGTATCCCAAAGAGATCATAAAAATGGGAAAAGGACCCACATGTACACAGATATTTATAGCAGCTCTTTCTGTGGTGGCAAAGAATTGGAAATTGAGGGCATGCATATCAATTGGGGAATGGCTGAACACATTGTGGTATATGAATATAATGGAATACTATTGTGCTGTAAGAAATGACAAGCAGGAGGCAGCTAGGTGGCGCAGTGGATAGAACACCAGCTCTATTTCAGGAGGTCCTGAGTTCAAATTCGGCCTCAGACACATAACACTTACTAGCTGTGTGACCCTGGGCAAGTCACTTAACCCCATTGCCTAGCTTAAAAAAAAAGTAGTCTGAAAAATGATAAGCAGGTGGACTTCAGAAAAACCTGGGAAGACTTGTATGGACTGATGCTGAGTGAAGTGAGCAGAACCAGGAGAACATCATACACAGTAACAGCCATGTTGTGCAATGAATAACTTTGATAGACTTAGCTCTTCTGAGCAATACAAAGATCTAAGACATCTCCAAAAGTCTCATGATGGAAAATGCTATCCATATCCAGAGAAAAAACTATGGAGTTTGAACGCAGATCAAAGCATGCTATTTGCTCTTTTTTTCCCTTCTGTTTTATTTTGTTTCCTCTGTATGGTGGTTCCTCCTGTTGGTTCTAATTCTTACTTACAACATGACTAATGTGAAAATATGTTTAATAGGAATGTATATGTAGAGCCTATATCAGATTGCACGCCATCTTGGGAAGGGAGGTGAGGATAGAGGGGGAGAAAAATGTAAAACTCAAAAGTGTATGGAAGTGATTGTTGAAAACTAAAAATAAATTAATTTACAAAAAAAGAGACTGATTCAAGAGTTATTGTGGGAGTAGAATAGACAAGTTTTGGCCAAGGATTGGCTATAGGGGTTAAAAGAGAAGAATCCAAGATAGATCTCTAATTTTAAGCCTGAGGGACTGTGAGTATGGTAGTATCCTCAACATAAATAGAGACATTAAGGGATGGGTGATACTTTTGGGGAAAGGCAATAAGTTCATTTTTTGAGCACATTATTCATGGTGGGTGGGCTACCCTAGAAATGCCTGTTTAACCCCTAATAAAACTGAAACATTCTATGTCTTTTTGCAATGAAAAGTACAGTAGTTGAAAATAATGCTGTTTCAAAGGAGTTAAGATACTCCTTCCCCAACCTCCTTACCAATCTAAGAGATGACAGCAAGTCAAATATTCATACATCAGGGACTTTGCTGTGCCAGTGCTAATTCTCTATGTTATACTTTCCAAAGCATTTTCCAAATATGCTATTTCACTTAATTATGTAAGATAGATAGCAAAGGTAGACTAAAAACTCCTTGAGGGAAAAAAAAATGAAACTGTATTATGTTTCATTGTTACCCAAAGTGCTTACTATAAGATTGGAACTCCCAAGAGGCTTAAAAGTTAAGTTGATTTGCCCAAAGTTACAAAAATAACTCTATAATAATGATAGCTCGCATTTTATATATTATTTTACCATTACAAAATTCTTTGCATGTTATTTCATTGGATTTTCACAATACCCCTGTGAGGTTGGTATTGTAAGTTTTATTATTCCCATTTTATAGATGAGAAAACTGAATCTAAAGGGAAATATAAGACACATGGCTAGTAAGTGGCAGATTCAGAGTTAGGTGGTGCACCGGTGCTGGGTCTGGAGTCAGAAAGACTCAAATCCAGCCTCAGACACTTGTTAGCTGTGTGACTCTGGTCATGTCATTTCACCTCCGTGAGTTCATCTATAAAATGGGGATAATAACAACACCTACCTCCCAGGGTTGTTGTGAGAGTGAAATGAGATAATATTTGTAAAGTGATTAACATGGTATAGTAAACACTATACAAATGTTAGCTGTTGTTATTTATAAACTGCTGAAAATGCTGTCAATGCTCTGGGGGAAAGCCTCAGTTCTCCTGCCCTACTTATGGCAGTGCTTGAACCCAGGTCCCTAAATTTCAAGTCCAAGACGCTTTTCGCTACGTTCAATGGTGTTGCTAAGATGACTTTATTTATAATAAGATATCTGGCCATCGCCATCTGAGGCTTCAGTTCTTGGATTCATCTGTTCATTTTACTGGCCTTGGGGGGAAGGATCATTTTCCCAGAAGATCACCTGACAGTGCTAATGGATTGGTGGTTTGCTGTCTTCCAGGTATCACTTCCCTACCCCAAGAAGGCCCCATCAGCACGATCATCATTTTCGCCATCTTCCTTTTCCTGATCAGCCTCCCTTACATCCTTTTCAAGCTATTTCCCAGGTAGAGGATCCCAGAGGAGACTGGGTCTAGCTTTCCCAATCACAGTCTATAAGAATGTCCAGCCCACCCCACTTTCCTGCCCCTCACTTGGGAGACTATTGACAGCAGACTGTCTACCTGTCCCTTCCCAGGCCTCCTGCCACAGATATTCTTGGGGAAGGAGAATCTTGACATTCCATCAATTAGGAGATTGGAGTTCTAAGATGGAAGTCAGAGCCATAGCTGGGAATTCAGACGGTGAGGAGTCTACGTTCTCCTCCCCACCAAACGAATCCCAGTTCTGTGCAATCAAGTAGGGACGATTTGTGGAAAGAGGCAGAGGAGGGGGAATAAGTCTGCCACAGAAAGGAAGCAAATCTCCTTATTGTTGGAGACCTATGGCAAAGTCCCAGGAATTCTCCCTCAGTTAGGGCTCTGCTGTGTAGTGTAATAGAAATAATGCTGGTTTGGGAGACAAAAAGCCTGGGTTCAAATCCTGCCTTTGATCCTTACTATCTATGCGACCCTGGTATCCCACACATATAAGTCCAAAAGTCCAATGGACTGCCTGCCTTCAGAGGTAGTGAATTCCCCATCACTAGAAGACTTCAAACAGAGGTTGGATAATGATTTGCAGGGTTGTGGTGGTGGGGATTCTTGGTCAGGCATGGGTTGGATTAGATAACCTCTGAGCTCCTTTCTGACTCTCAAATTCTTCAAGGATTCCTTGCCTCTCCTTGTCCCTCTGGCCCCTTCCTCCCCTTTTGGGTTTTGCCTCATCCCACCCCAGCTCTCCCTAGTATTCCCAGTACCCCTTGCCCTCACTGATCTTTCTTGCCATTTCTCTGCCACCCTCCAGAGTGAAGAAAACCTTCTACCAGAATGTGCCCTCACCTGCAGCTTTCTTCAGGCCCCTCTACACTGTACATAATGGAAACTTTCAGGTAATCTGGGAAACCTATGCCTCCACCCATCCCCCATGGCCTAGACAGACATTGTTCCCAGGGTTCTTGATGGGCCTCTCGTGCCTCTCTTCCTTATTGGTGGCGTTAGATAATGGAAAGATCATTGGGAAACCCAATGGACCCTTAGGACCATGGACTGGTCACTTCTCTGATCCTCAGTTTTCTCACCCATAAATGGGGATAATAATGCCAATAGTAATAATAGTTAGAATTCATATAGTACTTTAAAGTTTGTAAAGTACTTTATAAATGTCTCATTTGCTCCTCATAACAACCCTGGAAGGGTTATCATCTCCATTTTACAGACAAGGGAACTGCCAGAGGTGAAGTAACTTGCCCAGGGTCACACAGTTAGTAGGTGTCTGAAGCTGGATTTGAACTTGGGTCTTCCTGACTCCAGAACCGGTGCTCTATCCTACTACACTACCTAGCTGCCCCCTAGAAGGGACGTCTGAAAGCCATCTGGTCCAACTGGTACCTGAGCAGAACTACCCTGTATAATATCTCCAACGGTGGTCATCCATCCTCTAATTGATAACCTCTGATGATGGGAAACTCACCACCTCATGATGCAGCCCACTGTACTCTTGGAGAGCCCTGTTAGGAGGATTTTCCTTGTATCGACCTAAACTCTGTGTCTGCAAGTTAATACCTCTAGATCTGTCCTCTGATTGTTTGCTCTGCCAAGCAGAGTGAGTCTGATTGTTTTCCCCACATGACAGCTCCCTAAATACTTGAAGACAGCACCTGGATGCCATGCAGAAGCTGAGAGTTGGAAAGAATCTCAAAGGTTCCTTAGTTAGTCCAACCCAAGAATCACTTCCTCCTAACAACATTCCTGACAAGGCATTACCCGGCATCTGTTTGAAGACTTCCAGTGATGGGGAACTCACTACCTCTTAAGGCATCCCATTAGACTTTTGGGCTGAGATATGTGGGACCCAACATTTTTTCCACAGGAGAGCACCATTTTAGCTGTCAGGGCATCCTGCCCTCTCAGTGCCTTCATGAACCACTTCCTTCTACCTCCTATTACACTGCTTATTCACATTGATCTTGTCTTTCTCTTTCCCAGAGGCCCCCTGCCTTTTTTTTCCCCACATAAACTATCTTCCTACTAGGCTTCTTTCTCAAAGCTAAATATTCTCAGACCTTCAACCAATCCCCACATGGTATGGTTTCAGATCTCACTGTTCTGATGGCCTTCCTCCAGGTTGTCAAGGGAGAAACTGAACACCAATACTCTAGACATGGTCTGATCAGGGCAGGAGACAGGATGACTATCACCTTTCCATTCTAGCTAGACACTATACTTCTTTTAATGCAGGCTAAGATCCTATTAGCTTCTTTTTTTCCTACTAGCTTCTTGGGAGCCATATCACGCTTCTTTCACATTAAGCCTGTCCTCTTCCACTGAGGCCCCCAGATCTTTTTATTTATCCACAAAAATTACCTTCGAATTCTATCTTCCTCATCTTTAAGAAGTCTCTTGTGTGTGTGTGTACGTGCACATATGTGTGTGGGTGTGGGTGTCAGAGAAGAATAGGCCATTGTCTTTACCATTGAGGATCTGCCACAGTCTAGCGCTTGTGATATGTGTATGGTGACTCATAACCAGCAGTACTAGGTATTGTACAATCAGTGACAGATAAGAAATCTTTATTTCCTTCAAGACTCAGCTCAAGAAGCATCTTCTACATGAAATCTTGCCTGATTTTCCCCACTAATGCTCCCTCCCCAACTACCTTGTATTTATTTTGCATATACTTTCCCATGTACCCACGTCTCCGCTTGTAGGATGTAAGCTTCCTGAAGGTAGGAACTGTTTCATTTTGTCTTTGTATCCCCAGTCTTAGCATGGTGTCAAGCAGAGAGTAGTTCCTTAAATGCATGTTGGTTGATTAAAAGAAATGCTCAGAGTCCAAGAGAGAGGACACCTCTTAACTGGTGGGGATGGAGGGGTGGACAAGGAAGAAAACGTAAGATTGGGGCCAGTGCTTGAAGGATTTCACTCATCAGGAGTGGAGAGCAAAGGGAGGACATTAGCAAAGCCATGGAATCAGGAAGTACACATGGACAGTGTGTGTTAAAATGAATGAGCGAAAGTCGGTTTGGTGGGAGCTTTAGAACATGGTTTGGCATTTGTGTGACTGATTGGTGCATGATCCAGTTTGGCCTAGGGGAACCTCACCCCTCCATTCAGATGTTTCTGCTTGTGTTTCAGACGTGGGCCAGATCTGACCTCCTTGGTCCCCAGCTCAGAAGGCAGGGGGCCGTGGAAAGGAGGGTCTTGACCAGAGATGAGCTCTTGGGACTCATATTCCAGGATTCGATTTCTCAGCTCACCTGCTTCCCAATGAGGCCCAAGAGGGTAGATGTCATGGAAGAGGAGGATGCCTGCAAGCCCAGAGGACCCCCTCAGGAGGCAACCCAGCAGGACTCAGAGTCTAAGTACCTCAGTGTTGAAGAACTGGAGACTTGGCGGCTGCCTGGGGTGGTGATAGACAGGCATGGTGATAGTGGTGATGCTGAGGGCCAACCAGACTTCCCTGGAGCCAACCAGGCTAGTTCATTAGCTATGAGATGCCCTCCCATTTCTCTGAAGCAAGTGGACCAGACTCTGGAGAACTGCTTCCCCAGCAATAGTGATTACTGCACCCTGAGTGGCAGTGAGATGCCCCAGGCCTTGGCACCTGCTGGAGAGCTGCAGGGCCCAATGGCCAGCATGGGTCAGTGATTCCCTAATCTCCTTCCAAGGGCCCACCAACATTCAGGTGTCCCTGCCTAGCCAGCACAGAGGACTCCTGGGTAAAAATGTCAATTTTTAGGTGGCAATGGGGTCAGACACCAGGAGTCCAGCAAAGCTTGGTCAGCTCTCCAGGGTCCATAAGTTTCTGCACCTATGAACATTCCCTCACCTCCCTACTGTCTCCTAAAGTGGAGTATGAGGGCCCCTCTCCATCCCTGAAATCCATCCAGTTGGCATCCTGGGCCCAACTCCTTTCTACTCTTCTCAAAACTAATTCAAATGAGTTCAGCTTGATAGACCTTTCTTATGCCGGTGTGCGTAGCACTAAATTCTTAGCAAAATGGACCAAAGTTTCAGCAAGTCCCTGCATCCCAACTTGGGGTCAGTGATCTTGTTCCCAACTCTAAGCCCTGAGTCTTCCTTCCTCAGCTAATTGTTCAATCCAACTCAACTTTCATGAAGCACCTACTGGGGTCAAGGCACTGGCATTGGGGATATAGAGACAAACAAATGGATGGTTTATTCCTTTCGTTTAAGGTCTTGTCTCTTTCACCACTCCCAGTGTGTCAGAGCAAGGGGTGAGGAAGGAACTGTACTGGTTTCATTCCTGACCTTGACCACATCCCCAACCCACAAGCCTTTACACATATGGAGAAGGGGTTAGAGGAAGCAGAGTCGGCAGGTGTCTTGTAGAGGTTTACACCCCTTCGAGGCTGGTGGAGTAGAAAGGTACAATGCTGTTGCTCCCTGAGCTCCTTCTCATAAAACCTTTCTTTCTCTTTCTTTTCCTCTTCTGCTCTCCTATTCTCTTTGTTTTGCTGATCCTTTGGTCTTAGGTCTATCAGTTGCCCCGTCTGGTTTCTGGGTTGTACATGTTGCTAAACTCTATTCTGACTTGTCACTCAAGGCCCCGATCTGCTTCTTGCTCTGAGCCCTCACTGTCCCCTGTCCAGCCCATTCTTCTGCATAGTTCCCTCCAGGACCAATATGGAAGAGTGCAGGAGTTCTTGAACTTATCAGTTATACTATTATCAATATTTCAACATAATTTGCTTACTTTATAATCCTATGTATTTTCTTTTATGCATTTAAGGATGTTATTCCAGGAAGGGGTCCATAGGCTTTGCTGGACAGCCAAAGACATCCGTGAGACAAAAAAGGTTAAAAACCTCTGGAATAATGTCTTTGGAAGACCTAGGCCTTCTCATTTACTAGCTGTATGACTTTGGACAATTCACTTGACCTCTAAGGCCCTATTTCTTCCTCTGTAAAATAAGGCCATTGGATTCTAAGACACGTGAGATCTAGTCCCTTTCTAGGGGATAAATTTAAATGACTCCATTTGAAGGAATTACAGTTTCATCTCTTTCTTTGGGCGAATCCAGCCCAACCTGGAGGCCCAGGTTTGCATGTAATGGGATCTGGCAGCCCATTGTAAGTGAAAGACAACCCCATGTTCATTCTCTATGACCTCTGTCAGTCAGAGGATGCTCCCATCTTGCTCCATCATCCTTTAAGGGTCTCTGAAGGGCGATATCATGGAGTATCAGTCACTGATAGGCTGCTATGGTTCACTTTCAATGATCTGCACCGATGAAAGGGAGCCGTGATCTGGATTATCCAAACCAGAAGAGTTTTAATATGTTCTACTGGGCTTGGAATTCACTGCATATATAGACACAGCAAGAGGTTAACCTTCCCTGTTGTTTTTAAGGTTAATATTAACATGAATTCGCATTGACTGTCACCTGGGCATGGGGAGGGACACAAAAGGTTTGGGGTATGGGAGAAGTGAATCAAAGTCAATTCTCCCAAATGAACATTCAGGAAGGAGTCACCTCTTAGCTCTTCAGCCTGTAGATTTAATAAATGTTATTTTTTCAGTCTTTAGGAGGCAAGGGATGTCAGAAGATCATAGAGCTAGAGGTGACCCATGAGCCATCAAGTCCAACCTTCTTATTTTATATATGGAGTAAACTGACACCCAGGAAGTAAAGTGACTTGCCCAAGATCACATAAGTAGTAAGCATCAGACCTGGATTTGAACCCAGGTCCTCTCATCCTCAGATTACATTGTCCTGGTTAGCTGTGATGAAGGCAGATAAACTTAGACCACGTACATGCAGATTTCATCCAGAGAATGATGTGGGCATGGGAAATCTGAAAGGAAGAACCCCAAGGTTTGGGAAAGAGTAATGATAGAAAAAAAGAACAAGCCAGCTCCTGTACCCCGCTCATGCCATTTGATGTTGGAATAATCTGATAGCAAGGCGATGCTCCCTTTCTTTAGTCCAACTTTCTTTAGTTCCAACTTTGATGGGATGGAGATATCAATGGATGCATACAGATGATCTCAAGTCTTGGGAAGTTAGGGGCCATGACAGCCATCAAAAAAGCACCCTGCATTTCCCACATTCAGCATGTAGAGTCTGTATTTATCAGTACAGTCTAAGTGATGGCAGCTCTTCATGAGGGAATTGTCTTTGTTCAGTTCCTCTCTGGATACCACTGAGAACTGACTTTCCAAGCTTTTGCCCTTTCTGCTCCATGGGAGGTTGGGAGCAAGGGGCTAAAGGTTAATGATGGCCTGAGATATGTGAGGTGGGTGTTTTGATATGATGACTTTATTTATCTTTTTTTTTTAACCTTTCTGATTAAATGTGTAGCACAGGCTCTGGGGCTGCTCTCCCAAACCCCCATTCTCATTGGCAAGCTAAATCCCCAGAGGGTAGCTACCTATTTTGCCTCTCAGTGTTTTAGGGGTAACTCAGGGGGGTTGAGGGGGGTTCTTTAATATTACATAGCTCATGAGCCATCACCAGGGTGCTTCCTCCACTGATTCTCAATTAATATCAATTAGCCAGTCAGGCTTAGCTTTTCAAAATGGGTATTAATAAGAACAGTAAAAAAATCAATCCCCAAATTGGGGCACATTCTCTCTCCAGTGTATATAGAGTCTAGGGGAAAGTGGGTTCAAGCTTAACGTATATGTAGGAAAAGGGAACTCATAGTTCCTGGAAATCTATTTCTCCTTTTTTGTGGGGCCCTCATGAAGTTATCTTGACCTTGTAGAGTCCTGAACCTGCCTCTCTTCAGTGCATCTAGTTTCTCCTTGTTCCGATGTGCTATTAATTATTCTAAAGATGTGCCAGGATACATTTTGAAGTCCAAATCCTCTAACCTTTCAAAGTCTACAAGGTCAAAGGGGAGGAAAGAAACTCTTTGGTTTCCCTCAGTAATTCCCTCTTAAGGTCTTGGCTGGAACTGCTGTCCAGCACTTGAAAGTGCCCAATAATTCCCAACTAGCTTGCATCATTATACAGGCTCATAGAACATGACCAAGTGTTCACAGCCAATCCTAATGTACTTTTTGAGCAGCATCCCATTTCACCGGATGGCTTTTAATCTTTGTCCACTTGTTTAAATAGTTCACTGTCATTGAGTGATTGATTGGTTGAACAGAGGTGTCTAGGCCTTGTTCATATCTCCGCTTGGTGGATTCAGTCTGAGCCCTCTGTAATTATTGAGGTAGAGTATGGTAACAACTCTTTTATAAATGCTTTCTAAAAGGGCTATAATGATCTTGAAGTATGAGAAGATGCATCCCGAGAGGTGGCGAACTATGAGTGTGGAACACACAATTGTATACACTGTCAGACATAGTAGATGTATTAGTTAGTTTTACGGAATTGCTTTTTTCTTCTTAATTTTTTTTTTGTGGAATTGCTTTTTTCCCCCTCCTTTTATTCTTTGTTACAAGGGATGAGTCACTGAGTGTGGGAGGGGGAAGGATATATCTGGAAATGAAGGAGATGTAAAGACAAAAGATCTCAATAAAAATTTTAGAAACAAGGATCTTGGTAAAGGTGATTCAGAAAGGTAAATGAAAAGGTTGAAATGGAATGACTGGGTGGGGTCCAGAAACAATTGATTGGTTTGGTGGACAGACACACCTTTGAACATAGACATTTGAATCTAGGCAGAACCAGGGTGAGAGCCAAGATAACAGGTAAATGGCAAACCATTGCCCTGGTAGGAACCGGCAGTGTGGGCGGTTATTCTCAGTGCCCTCTGGTGGAGAATTATCATTATGTATGTAAATCCCATGACCCAGAGAATATTGTTGTCCCCATTTTACAGAGAAAGAAACTGAGGTCAGAAAGATTACTGCCCAAGATAATAAAATTATCTTTAATAAAATAATAATAAAAAATTATTATCTTACCCAAGATAATAAAAATAATAATAGCTAGCATTTATATAGCATGTTAAGGTTTTCAAAGTACACTTACAAGTTGGCTCTTTTGATCCTCACCACAACCCTGTGAAGTAGGCACTAGATAATTATCCCCATTTTACAGATGAGGAAATTCAGGACGAGAGAAAGGTCAAGTGATTTACTAAGGATCATACAGATAGTAAGTGTTTGAGTTCGAACTCAGGTCTTCCTGAATACCACTACACTACCTAGCTTACCCTTCATTAACTCTCACTAGTGACCATTTCTGACCTGTCTCCCTTTTTCATGCTCCATAATCCTAGTGATAAGTATGTATTTCTCACACTCACTAACCATATAATCTGGGATGTGCTGTCAATAAAGCCAACTGGAAATTATCTCAGTCTCAGCTTTCCTGCAGAAACACTACCCACATGTATTCCTTACATGATTATCGTGAGAGATCAGAAAAGAGAGTGATTGTTGAGGCCCGGTAAGATCGATTGGGCCCTGAAGGATTTTGAGGACTTGGAGAAGCAGAAAGGATCCAGGTAGAGAAGCAATCCAGGCGGGTGTCAAGAAAGCAACAGAGGGGTCTTCAGACTTGCTTGGGTACAGTACGCGGCTCAGGTTGGAGATGAGGTTGGAGAAATAGGGATAAGAATCGCAGAGAGCTTTGAATACCAAGTTAAGGAGTCTGGAAAGTCTCCCTGGAAGAGGAAGCTGGATTTTGAAGGAAGTATGATCAGAAGTGGAATTCAAGATTGGCGGGGGCGGGGGGGAGGATAACAAATGATGTGAAGTTATGGTGGGAGTGGAGGGACAGAGGATAAGAATTCATCTAAGACAGCAAAATTGGCCTAGGTGAATTGGAGGGGCCCTGAAACTATGTACATTCAAGGTGTCCATAACTGAAGAAAGGGGCTGTGCCACCCAGACTGAGCCAGCCAGACTTAAGTTAATAGACAAGAGAGAACCAACAGAGAAATTATGGGATAGTCAGTCAATAATTATTTATTTATTTAAAACCTTTTTTAAACTTTTCCCCAGTTACATGTTTAATAGTCATTTATTAAGCAAGGCTTTAGATCTATGCTGGATGGATGGGGGAGGGAGAAAGACTGTACGTAGCAGGGAGGAAGTAACTTTAGCCCTTTTGGCAAGGGGGAGGAGAGGGAGAGACACATGAAAAGATATCAGGACAAGTCAACCAAGGGTAAATCTAATGACCATCATGTAAGATTGAGGGAGAAAGGAAGACAATCAACAAAAATTTCCAAGTGAAAAATAAAGAAGCCAGTCTCTTTTCTATATGTATTGTCCTCACAGGCTCATAGAGTGTCAGAATCAGAAAGGCCCTTGGAAAGAAGACTGGTAGATTGTCAGAGCTAGAAGGTGCTTTAGTATCTAGAATGTCTGAAAGGGACCTTATGACATGAAATGTGGAAAGTCATTTAGAAAGGACCTCAAAAATCACCTAGACCAACCGCTTCCTTATACAGATGAGAGAACAGAGCTGGAGAAGCAAAATTACTTTTGTCATATAGCCATAGAGCCTAGACTTGAACCCAGGTTTCCTGTTTTCCTATCCTCAACAGGTTAACCTCTTCCTGGCACAAGAAGTCTGCTGATATCTGGGCCCCTAGTCCTGGGACTCGGGAAATGGAATAGTTTGGGCTTTGTTGTAGAGACCCCTGTAGTGGTGAAGTTAAGAGCATGCCTTTCAATTTCAGAGAATTGTGAAAATAGGCTCATCAAAAACTGACCATTGGTGTGTAAAAATACCAGCCAGAATCCACTTCCTGGGCCTCCTGCTTATCTAGGCTGATCAGGCCACAGAGCTCCAGGGACTCACTACCATAACAATATTATGTTACTGGTCAGTGACTGAGCTGTCCTCAGGGAAGGAAGATAGAAACTGAATTATGTTGATGCATAAACTCAGCTGTAGTCAAAGTATACTCCAGAGGCGGGCAGATGATATAACCTTGAGTTGCCTGGATCTGGGAACACAACTGGACGTCACAAGCTGGTGTTTTGCGTCTGTACTGCTCACGGCTCCAAGCTGGGATCAAGGCCTTTATGAGACCCAAACAAATTTTGAAAACTACACCCCTATATGCTATTGTCCACTGGAGGTTTTGAGCCTCTATGCAAAAGTACTTCCCGCAAAACACCAAATTAGATTGCATATAAGCTGTACCTTAAAATAATATTTTTTTGGTGGGGGGGAAACAAGATATATAAAAATATGTATGTTTATATATACCTAACAAATAATACTGGTTATTTACTACACTGAACTTTTATAAAAGTCAGATTTAGGGGGAAAATGTAGCCAATATTCAGACCAATATAGTAAATACTTATGGATCAGAAAAGGAAGAATTTTTTTGGGGGGGGATTAAAAATATGTGGACTGAGAAAGTTATACTAAAAAAACTGTCTCAAAAAAAGATCTCTCTTTGCACCCTACTGTGTGGATCCCTAAGTGGCTGGCTACCACCATATCCTACCTAGGCCACAGCTGGCAAGAATTAGTGAGTAGGCAAATGCGAGGATAGGGGAAGAGTAATCCTATGCAGTCCAAATTAGAGCCTAAGCTCACGTGAACCAAAAGGCCAGACTGTGCAACCAAGGTTGCTTCTGGGCTTTGAGATCCCAAGGGGCTGAGGTAAAAGCAAAACCTGTTGCTGGAGTTAGGGATTTGATCTTAGGTAAGGTCAGTATAATTAAATGCATGATGACAAAAGTATTTATTAA